GACAATGGATAGCATCCGACTGAAAAAGGAGACTCTATCACCAAACTAAGACTAGACACTAAAGAGATTCTGCTTTGTATTTGTTAAGATAAGAAGGCTGTCATCTATTATGAAATGATAAAACAAAACAGTTAATGCATCCTTCGACAGGAATCGAACCTGTATCTTATACGGAACCGTCATATAGCCTGACGTGCTTTTACCGATTTCGCCACTGAGGAGCGATTTTACTGTTTTTAAACTACAATTTTTCCTGATTTTCTCACGTGCGTATCCAAGTGTAAACAAATGACGTCACACATTATGAAATGGACAAAGTCATTTTTATATTACTTAAATATTTTTATCTATAAAAAGAATGTATAAACATAAAAAAATGTTTCAAAATAATTGTCGGACTTTGTCCATTTCACACACACACGCACACACACACACACATATATATATATATATATATACCTCCTTACTATTCGAACTACTTCAAACGTCATTTTTAGTGGATATTCGTCTCTGAGTAGACGCTCCGATTATTTTAAGCAGTTACTTTTTCGTCTACCGACCTGCCTACCCGAGAAAACTTCATAAAGAGTGCGTGTCATCCAGTAGGATTAGAAATATATACACATTTCACTCAACATTATTAATCAACTGATTTATCTATGTCATGTAAAATATATGGGTAATGTGTGGTAGAAGGAGTAACTGGGAAGTTTTCTCGATTTCTTATTTGAATGAAAATTTAATGTTTGAAGAAGCCCCTTGCAAATTCCTCGACTATAAAAAGGCAATGAAAATTCCACTATTCCATCGTTATGTACTTGAGCTTAACAACTTTAGCTAAATAAAGAGTTGTCCCAATAACGTGGACAGATTTTAAATGTGAATTAAGTTTCACATTTATGTCCTGGTTATTCGAACAACCCTTTATTTTGCTAACAATCATAAGTTTGTATGCATGATATTCAAAAAAGCATGAGCACGTGGTCGACTCGTTAGAACGTTCGCGTTCTAACCATGATGTCCGAATTCGAATCTCCCCACCGTTGATTTATCAGGAGATGTCATCGATGAGGAGGAACACGAAAACTTTGAAGCTAAAAGACATTTCAAAAAAGGTGAACATTACATTCAAAGATCGCTTGGCGTCCAGACCTTCAAAGTTTTTATTTTTATTTTTAATTTCATTTAATCTCGAGCAAGGAAACAAAGTCTCTATAGCTTTGCGGCCAAGTGGTTAGAATATTCGCTTTCTGACCATGAGGCCCGAGTTCAAATCTCACCATAGTCGATTTGTCAGGAAGTTCCTGATGTTATCTGTCCCAGCGTGCGGCACTTTTGGAAAGTGTTTGAAAACCATACCACGGGTTGACCCAAGCCTTCTGATTGAAATTAGGTAGACACTTGTGCTAGCACGAAGTCACAAGTCATCGTGGCCGAGGTCTTGAGCGTTCTGGCTTTGTTCAAATTGTTGATCACGCTAGATAACAAGGACTCTTTATACGGAACCGTCATATATCTTAACATGCCTTAACCGATTAGGCCACAGAGGAGCGTTCGATTAGCAAGGTTAAGGTATATCAGACTATATGAGGGTTCCGTATAGGATACAGGTTCGATTCCTGTCGGAGGACGCATAATTTCTATGAAAATTTCTCGGACATTCAGGCCGGTAAATGTTGTTTAAAACTGTTTATTATAAACAGAGCATTTTCGTAAATATTTGTATCTATAAAAAAAACCTATAAACATAAAAATGTCTTAAAATATATATCTGTCTATATTTCTGAGATGAGGTTTTATGTAGACTATTTACATTATTCGGACTATTTTCCTCATCTTCGTCGCCATATTTATTACAACGTTTCGGCCATTGTACGCCCCGGCCTTCTTAAAGGACTCATGGCACTGTGGATAAAGGCGTTGGTTAGATCCAGTGACAAGACCCAAAGAGTATGAGTTCAATACCCGGTTAAGGCAGTGGAGAACTTGGAGAGGGGAATTAACAGGAGATAACCAATAACTGACATCCAATAAACATGGCACGTGGAACTAGAACAGTCTACTTCAGTGAACAAAATAAACCGAAGAAGGACGGAGCGTACAACAGCCGAAACGTTGTAATAAATATGGCGACAAAGATGAGGACAATAGTCTGAATAATGTAAATAGTATATATATATATATATATATATATATATATATATGATAGAAATTAAGGAGGATTTGAGATATTTGGATTCATGGAGTCTCTCTCTCTTTCTCTCTCTCTCTCTCTCTCTATATATATATATATATATATATATATATATAGAAAATATCATTTTAAATGCTATATTTATGGGATGAAGTGCTCAATATCAGAGATAGAGTGTATGTAAATATAAATAAAAAGTGAACATTGAAGTCATCACTCCAGAAGCGACAGGCTGTTTCATGATGGACGCAATCGTTAGGCCGCCTGACGATTGTTTAGCATGAAACAGTTAATACCTTAAATAGTGTTGACTTTCAATGTTCACTTTTATATATATATATATATATATATATACATATGTTTATATATATATATATATATATATATATATATATATATATATAGAAATTAAGGAGGATTTGAGATAATTAAGTAATTCATATATATATATATATATATATATATATATCAAAATGACCAAGAAAGAAATTCTGAATCTCCCCAGCCTCTATCTTAAAACCAACGACGTAAATACAATCTTTTTTTAGGAAAAAAAGTAAAACAGAGGGGTGGTTTGTGGGCTTTACTCAAATCAACCAATCACATACGACCTACGTTAGATTTAAACTAAGGGAAAAAGCAAAAAATTTCCATAAATGTCTCATGACCCGTAGATTTGAATTAATTGCAGCAACAGACGTTAAACAGGATCGGATGTAAATGAATACATATTGTACATTAGACAATGTCATTTCTTAAGAAAAATTAGGTTTCCCTTTATTTAAATTTAACATAAGTCATATTTGACTGGTTAATCTGAGTAAAACCCAGAAAACTCTCTTTTCTTTCTTCCTTTCTTTCTTTTTAAATCAGAATAAATCCTTCACTAGCCAGTAATTTACAATTGCCTGATGAGATGCATTGATACGCATCGAAACATGACTGCAATTGTGTAGTGATTTTGACATGTTTTTGATGTAATATCCTAAAATAAATAATTGCTCTGCTTTGTATTGACCTCTCTTTTAAATTAAATGTTACGAACATTGGAATTGTACTCTATTTGTTCTCATCTTACCTATATATATATATATATATATATATATAGTTTATGCAAAACTAGGTAATCCGTATGGGTAGACCCAATGAGGATGATATCCGGAGAGCTCAATGTAAAATTCAGAGCAGATATGTTTGAATAAAAAACAGACCACGTTAAGATTCCATGTAATAAGTTATTTCACCATAACCCCTTTAACAGGGTTCTGGATCATCAGACTTTACTTCCAAAGGTTGAAATGAAAAATGAAAAGAAATTCACACGTTTTTGACGGACCGCATCAAGCATATGTAAAATTAACGAAATGAGGAAGTATGGTGGGAGAGAAGATAAGATATGAGTGGTTTAGATGTACCATTTCAATTCCTTTAATGTCGGTCCTCTCCCCCAACCCTTACCCACCTATATCTAGAGGCAATACGCGTTAGCCGACACACAGTGGGGTTAAAAATAAGGAATTATTTTTTCATAATTAATTGATTATTTTATTCTAATAATTGATTTGTACGAATACTTTTTTCACCAGTGAGAATAAAAAAAAATGCATTAATTTCTGTTAGAATAAGAATTAATTAAGTTTATTATTATTTTTTAATAGTATGTGTCTTTATACATAAAATGTGCCGAGATTTGTTTTATTTAAGGCTTTTACACTTATAAAAATATAATTTTTCAAGTGTACAAATATTTATTTCCCCCCCACTGTATATATATTTAGTGATAAATATAACGGATAATGAATTTCTAATATGTTTGATCATGAGCCATTCAAAACTGAATATAGTTGCTTTAATTTCGAGTGTAAATAAAGACAAAAATTGTACAACATTTGGATATTTTTTATTATGTTGTTCCTTGATTTAAGCTTTCGGATCCCATGAGCCATCTTCAGTGTGGTTATATGGACATTTACACAAAGATATTCACCATCAAAGACGATATCCTGTAATGTTTACATACAAGATTGCTATGTGACTATAACGGTCATTTCATAGCATATCAGGTTGTAGCTTCATGATATATGATATATATATATATATATATATATATATATATATATATATATATATATATATATATATATAGTTAAATTCCCAGATCAATTCTGTGGACAAGACAGATTGGTATAAAATGACAATTGGAAAAAAATCTTAGATTTTGCTGACTGGTTTCGTCTTCCGACTTTTTCAAGGCAAAAATGAAATCGAAATGTTTTTGTTGTTATAGTTACATTAAAAAATCCAAATTTAAAAAGTGTGTGTGTGTGCGTGTGTGTGTGTGTGTATAATATACCAGTGAAAGAAATTCGAGACATAAAAAACAAAATAATAATAATAATAATAAGACTACTTGTATTATTTACATTATTCAGACTGTTATCCTTATCTTCATTGTGATATTCACAACGTTTCGAACGTTGTCCGCTCCGGCCTTCTTCAGGTGATTTGAATTTCGAACCGAACACTTTATTTCGTCCACCGGGGGGGGGTAGATTAGTCTAGTTCCACGTGTTATGCCTCTTCCGGATGTCTGTTATTTCCATTTAACTCGAGGACACATGGTCCCGTGGATAAAGACGTTGGTTAGATCCAGTGACTAGACCCAAAGAGTTGTGAGTTCAATACCAGGCCACAGCAGTAATAATACGTACGTTAATGGTCAGAATTGAATTAGACCAGGAAACAGTAGTATTAAAAAGTACTCAATACACGTATGAAAAAAAAAATGATATCGCCTGAGGATTCCATGAGTATCATGTTTTAACAAGTATCATGTTTTAAGGAGTATCATACAGTTAAAACTATTGTTTTTAGGGACCTAACATTTTTATTACACTTTTTTTTATTTTTATAATCTAAAAGATAGAATTTTTTTTTGTATTTTTCGATATAATTGAAGCGAAAATAAATATAAAATTTCTTTTAAAAATTGCATTTTGACCAGTTTGTTGGCGTACGTTCGTGCCAGCTTTTCCCGCCTTTTAAGGGCTAAGAAGAAGCAAAGAAAACAGACAATTCCCAAATGTGAAGTTCTGGTCATTTTTTTTTTAATATTATTAAAAGTTGTATTCAAAAGCAGCTTTTTCTTTCATTCTTTCTTTCTTTCTTTCTTTCTTTCTTTCAATTTTTATTTTTATTTTCTCTCTCTCTCCCCACCTTCTATATATATTTCTTTCTCCCTGACTTTTGATTCAAAACCAGGTAAAGATTGGCTGGTGAATGTCATTTTTTTCCCATGTCATTCGTATTTTTTTAGTCCTCCATCTTTTTTCCTATTTCTCCACCTCCTCCTTTTTCTTTCTTTCTTTCATTCTTTCCTTATTTGTTCTTTCTTTGTACTTTCTTTCTTTCTTTCTTTCTTTCTTTCAGTTTTTTATTTCTCTCTCTCTCTCTCTCTTCCCACCTTAGCTAGGGAAAGATTGGCTGGTGAATGTCATTTTTTCCCATGTCATTCGTATTTTTTAATTCCTCCATTTTTTTCCTATTTCTCCACCTCCTCCTTTTTTTTCTTTAATTCTTTCATTCTTTCTTTCTTTGTTCTTTCTTTCTTTCTTTCTTTGTTCTTTCTTTCTTTCTTTCTTTCTTTTTCTTTCTTTCTTTTCTTTTATTTCTTTCTCTCTCTCTCTCTCTCACACACTCTCTCTCTCCACCTTAACCAGGTAAAGATTGGCTGGTGAATGTCATTTTTTCCAATGCCATTTTGTTTTCTCACAGAAACGAAACAAATAAAAAAAAGAATTCTGTTTTTATATTTTTACCGATTTGTAATTCTATTTTACAAAAGTCCTGAGTTCATTAAACATACTCTGGAAAATAATGTATATGCAATGAAAGGCAGTGGCATAGATGGTGTGGCTGCATTTAAAATGTACGTATACACTTTTGTTTGTTTTCTTCTTTTAAAATAGAATTCACTCTTCGAAAATAATTTTATTTTCTTTCAACCAATTTTCTTTTTCTCTCTTCCAGTATAATTTTGTCTTTTTATAAGGTTTCAACAATTTGGAATATTTCACTTGAGGTAAATTCAAATAGTAATCCCAGTCGATTTCGGTGCTGGAGGAATACGTTCGATTGTTTAACCATTCTTCCAGACAGTCCAAGACAACAGAATCATAATCTTCATGAAATTTGTTTACAGAAACTTCCGGTCGAGTTCTCAGCCAAGGTAGATCGCCTACCGCGAAAATACAAACGTGACGTACAAATTTGCCATGACATTTAACTTTAGGGTGATCCCATGCCCAGTTCACGGCTTTAGAAGGGTGTGTATTCTTGCCGTGGTTTGTATAGAACTTTTGATAGCCACCTGGGGCAAAAGGTAACAAATTGAGTGTTGCCCAAATGCATTCTTCCGGTGCGTAAGTTTTCTTTAGCCAATCGTAAAGAGGCTTTACGACATCGTCTGTGAAGATAAAATCTACAAAATCTCGCGAGAACATACCGTACGCACTCCCTTTATAGATGGTAATGTTGCTTTTGAAAGGCGCGTATCGCACTTTAGTATTGGTCTGTCGATTTTTTTCATTTATTTCGTATATATAGCGATGGCGCCATCTTATCCAAAATACATCCGACTCGATATCATTTGTGCCATTAAATATTTCAAGAATCTTCACAATCTCTAAATTTGTTCTTAACATGAACTCTTGACCTGTAAGATTAATATAATATTTCCATTTGACGTCTGATCCGATACAGCATTTCATACATGCTAGCTCAGACTCTATAAGGCGATAAGAAGCGTATACGACATTTATACGTTCTGTGAGAACCACAACATTTTTAAAACAGTCGCCAACCCTTTTGATAAGGTCGTACGTTTCGTTGGGGGCCTTTGAATCGACGTGGATGCAGTAAAAGTTATGGGGTCTGTAAATTGTTCTGAGAAGTCTTTCCACTTGGTGAGAATTCGCGTGCATCTTGATTCCGAACGCCAGAGGAAACCGTTTTTCGTCCTCACTAACGGGTTTATCCTCGTAACCGTGTTCGTAGCGTAATTTCGGACAGTCTTTGACTAATTCCTCGAGAGAGCACTCCGTTCGTACTGGGCTCACTATCTCATTTTCCGCCGGAACGATGTGACGGATTTCCGTAACGATTTGAAACTTTTTCTGGCAATTCAAAGATTTATTTCCACGGACATTGCATTTGCTTAAGACTTGCGGCTTTTGTTGTAACAATGAACCGATTTTAACTACTGGAATTTTTATACGGAAACGTTTCATCATTGCAATTGATTTTTTTGGTAGGATATCTTCTAAATGGCTCTGGTCACTCTGTAGGAAGGTCAGGCAAAAGAACACTGTAGAAGCAATCAAAGCCAGCAGGACTCGTTTGAGCGAACTGAAAAAAAAAAGTGCGATATAATTACAGTAATAATTTTTTGTCCGTCAGCACACCAGTCTATTTATAAAAACCTTACCCTTTATATCTATGTATGCCGGTAAGGTTAACGATGTACTTTATATTTAACAATATAAAAATTTTAAATACCATGTCCCTTCACTAAGTATGCGATCACGGCTTTCCAGAGTTCCTTTTTTTAGTATATATGATTTACAAAGATTTTTTTTGAAAGATAGCTAATCGGTTTTCTGTTGTCTACATAATAGTTTGAATTTATTTTTTTTTTGGTTGGGCTTAAAAAAATAAGAGAAAAACTTTACCGTATTATTTACACTATGCCACTTTAATTAAAATTTAAAAAAAAAACCTTTTCGCTTTAGATGTATTTGGATGTATCGTCGATTAAATTCCATTTTTTATGTCTTTTTCTATTAAGTAAAATATATATATATATACGTAAGCACGTCAAATTGACCAAATGATTTTCTAAGCACAGCTTAAAGGTAGCACTAGGCCTTAAGTGTAGAGCATTTAGTGAGGATGATACAAGCTATTCAGTCGTAACTGATCGAGAGAGACAAGCTTGTTAACCGTTACACCACGTAGAAGTGCTCAAAATGATTTTCTAAGTGTAGCTTAGATGTGGCACAAGGCCTTAAGTGTGGAGCACTTAGCGAGGATGAAACAAGCTATTCAGTCGTAAGTGATTTCGCTAGACAAGCTTTCTAAACATTACACCGCGTAAAAGTGCTTAAACGATTTTTAAGTGTAGCTTAGATGTGGCACAAGGCCTTAAGTGTGGAGCACTTAGCGAGGATGAAACAAGCTATTCAGTCGTAATTGATCTAAAGAGACAAGCTTCCTAAAGATTACACCGCGTAAAAGTGCTCTAACATTTTTCGCTTTAGAGGTTTCTGGAAAATATATATATATATATATATATATATATATATATATGTAATATATATATGTACATAAGTCCGTCAATTGACCAAATTTGTTTTCTAAAGTAAAATTAGATGTTTTATTTGCGCCTTAAGGATTATGAAATTCGCTATTCAGTCGTAATTGATCGAGAGAGAGACAAGCTTTTAACCGTTACACCACGTAGGAAAAGGATTTTCTAAACCTTTCTAGATGTGGCACAAGGCCTTAAGTGTGGAACACTTAGCGAGGATGAAACAAGCTGTAATTGATCTAACAGAACAAACTTCCTAAACATTACACTACGTGTACTGGGTCTCAATGATTTTTTGATAAAATGGAATATGCATACACCTGTGTTCCCGTCACTGGAATATGATTGGCTGGTGTCCGTCATAAATACCGACGGACGTGTAGGTACGACAGTGTGAAGAGAGCCTTAGACTGAGAGCTATGTCTATAACGACGCCCATTGGACTACGCCATTGATCTACACGTCTTACCTGCGACTACGACGCGTACCAATCGATTATTGCTACCGTATTCTGCTTGGTTATAGTAGCCAAAACCACTTAGCTACTTCGTTCAAATATATCCCTTTCCGGGACATATCATTTTTAAGTGTAGCTTAGATGTGGCACAAGGCTTTATGTGTAGAGCACTTAGTAAGGATGAAACTCGATATTCAGTCGTAATTAATCTAGTGAGACAAGCTCCCTAAACATTACACAGCGTAAAAGTGCTATAAATAATTTTCTAAGTGTAACTTAGATGTGGCACAAGGCCTTAAGTGTAGAGCACATAGTTATGATGAAACTCCCTATTCAGTCATAATTGATCTAGCGAGAGAAGCTTGTTGACCATTACACCCCGTCGAAGTGCCCAAATGATTTTCTAAGTATAGATGTCGGAGAAGGCCGAAAGTATAGGGCACCCACTGCGGATCAAACTCGCTATTTAGTCCTAATTGATCTCGTGGGACAAGCTTGTTCACCATTACACAACACCGCAGTGCCCAATTTTTACAGGGCATTTTAGGGCCACATGTTCAGCGCTTAAAACAATGCCCACTGGAAGACCTGGGAAATGCTCGAAGTTCCAGGAGACTGAAAACTTCAGAAATCATCTCACAGTGTATGGCAAATAGTGGTCACTATTTAGTGGATGTCCCCTTAAAAACCAAATAAATAAAAAGGGTCGCCCGTTGTTTAAACAACAGTGAAATAAATTTTTTAATAACACTTGGTCTTTTTGTCGATGGGAGGCATTTCGATCACACCCTGTATAACAAAATTATTACTATTTTTTAAAATTTGGATATATAAAAGTTCTTCTGTGTGCCATGGCCATTCTAGGCGTTGGCGATCATAGTACACTACGATTTCCTGCCGTTTGTGTTACATAATGCGAAGGCCAGGGCTAGAATGGTCAGGGACTGGCCGGAGTGACTTGTGGGCAGAGCATACTCTCAATGATGGATTGCCTTGGTCTGGGTTTTGAATATAAGTCCAAAACGGCGCGAATTCAACAGAGGGTCACAAGAATTCATAAACATCGATACACCTCCCACACTCAGGTTTGCGACCGGCTAATACAACCCTGTGACGTCATTCCCCTTATTACCTCTTAAGATCTTGGCTGCCACTCTTAATAAAACGAATACCAAAAAGAAATGGTCCTTTTCGTTGATATGTAGTACCATGGGGGATCCCGACACGACACAGAAAGCAACATTTGTAGCTCTTAGTTAATTTCTTTTTTACTATAACTCTTAAACCCTATTCTGCAAATCCTTTATACAGCCTTGTTAGGCAGGTTGTGCACTGCTTTCCGCTGTTTCTCATGGCATCAATATGTCTTGTGAATCTCAAATTCTCCAAGCCTTCTTTCCTCAATATGTGCGCTAGGAGTTTCAACTGGCTCTTTCTAATGTTTAGTATAAGTCTCCTTTTTGGTTTCCATGTTCTTTACAGAAACACGATCAAGAATGTTTAAGTTAGACTATATTAATAAAAGACAACGCCCTTTACATTCTGTAATGCGTGGAGGTACGATGTGGTACAGGACGCGCGGTGAACTAAAAGTTAGCATCTAGGATTGAAGAATCGGAGATCCGAGTTCGAATTTCAGTCGAATCATTACATTCACTTTCGTGCTAATACCCTTGGGAAAGTTATGAAACCATTTTCTCCCACATATGGGTAAAATAACAGGACAAACTGGGTTCCATTGGTGGCCTCCAGTGTAGGAGAAAAAAAATCAAACCAGCCATAGAAAGTTCGGTTTTTGCGCTTGTCCGTTGTGTATACATGCAGCTGGGGCCGCTTGTGAATCCAAATTCATATTGAAACTCCTACTATAAATTTCCACGGCCGAATGATTATGACCGCTGGTCGGCTTACGTTTGGGATGCGACAGGTTAGACGGATGAATGCCGCAGCAGGTGCAGGTATTCTGTGAAACTGACTATTTTTGCTTGCCAAAATTACCCCAAAAAAATAAACAAGGCTTAAAAAGAAGCTTCTTTTTGGTATTCGCTTTATTAAGAATTTCGGCTTTGATTCTAAGAGGTAGTAAGAGGAATGACGTCACAGGAACGCATGTCGCACGCTGTGTTTAGCATTCCTCTGCATTTGGTATTAGCCTGAGTGTGGGAGACATATCGACGTTTCAGAATTATTGAGACCCTCTGTTTTGGAGCTATATTCAAAACCCAGCCTCACCAGATATTAATCCGATAGAAAACCTCTCGTACATTAAAAGAGTTTCATATAAAAATGGAACACAATATTCAAGGAAAGAGAGTTGGGAAACAATAAACATGGCCACAGATAATGTTAAAGTTGAAATAGCTGAAAGAAAATTAGCAAAAATCAATGCTTTAAAAAAAACTGTTGACGTTTATAGAATGTTAAGTAACTCCTTGCAATGTCTAAAATGTTAAATAAAAATTTATTCAGTCATATGGGATTAGAGGAAAATGATATGAAATCAATAAATAAAATTATAAAAGTCAATTATAAAAAAAGAAACTAAAAAGAAATACATTTTCCCATGATGCTGGTGGCGAAGCTACCGGAAATATATTTACCCGACTTGCCTTTGTCAAACGGCGTTAGCAGCGCTAGTTAAGTCTATAAAATGGCTAACATTTTCTTCCTTTCTTTCCCTAGCACAAGGTAGTAATTACGTTCCCGCTGGGGCACGTTAGTTTCTCCGATCTGCTGACGTCTGAAATCTCTTTTCACTTTCCAATGCATGGCGTTCGCACGTGTCTTCTAAAAACTACACCTATGAAGTAAATCTTCCTTTTATTTGGTCGTTCCAACTCGGCGCATGGCTCACTTGAGCTCGCCCTTTATAACCAACGTTGAAGTAAGTTTTTCTTTGGCTTACTTGAGATCGACCATTATAACGATGTTTATCCTTACTTATTCTAAGGCCTGGACCAAGAAAAAGAAAACAGACATGCCATAAGCAAGTTTAAACCGTCCAACGATAAAGAACAAACCTTTTTTGATTATTCCAACTCTGCCCAAGGCTGACTTGAGAGTGACAATGCTTCTCCTTATTTACCCTAATTTCTGGTCCAAGAAAAAGAAAATAGTAATCCCAGAACCACATTTAGGTCCTCCCACGATAAAGTAAGTACAGACTTTTTTTTTTGGTCATTTCAACTCAGCGCAAGGCTAACTGGAGTTTGCCACTAACACGATGTTGATACTTACTCAATTTTTTTTACCAATAAGAAAATGGACAGACCCAAGAGACATTGAGTACTTTGCTTCATTCCAGTTTATATAAAAATGAGAATAAACGGTCTGTAGTAGAAAATCAAGTTACTGTAACATTCTTTAAATTGTTAACATATGAACACGCATCCATCCCAACAAGTAAGCTTTAGATTCCATACGGTATTTCGTTAATCAAATACGTTAAATCATTGCCAATGCATTTCCTATAGTAAAACCCTTGCACATTGATTTTCCTATAAGAATACACACACACACACACACACACACACACACACATATATATATATATATATTGTCAGCTGTCAATATACCACATAAAACCCTTGAGTGCTTAGCCTTGGAGCGGGTAGAATGGAGATCAACGTGTTTTAGTGGACTCAGCAGTTTTCAATATGCTTGTCTGAACCAGTTTCAAGAAGCGAGAGCAAGATCTAAAAGGTCAGCCAATCTAATAGTGATCTCATCTCACAATCCTCATTCTTGCTCCATATGTGGCCTCCTTTGTAAATCACTAGCGGGTCTTAAATGCCACTTAAGATTATCGCACAAAATTTCATAACTGAATCAACTAAGCTGTCATATCCTCATACGTCGAAACCAACGGGAGAGTCCATTATATATATATATATATATATATATATATATATATATATATATATATATATATATTTATTAAATAATGACTTTAATAATACTACTAATATTACAAGCTCTTCCCTGTCAGTCATTGGTGTGTTTATTCACAGAATAAGTACGTAAAAATTCGCCTTTCTTTCAAGCGTGCGCCGACGGCTGAGGGGGGAAATCCCGGCTTGAATGAATCGGACGTCTAGCCACACTAATGAGGTGTGATGCAGCGGAACAATCTGTCTGTAGATGACAATAATAGTAATTTATACAATATAATTAATTACCAATATTAATGAGATTAATGGCGAAATCACTTCGCTAACAAGACTTAATGAGACATTAACTTACTATCAATTCCTTGAATAATACGGATATAGTTGTTGCATATTTGAGTTGTTGTCAGACGAGCCAGATACAACTCAAACATACAACAACTCAAATATACGGACCGACATTCGAAGACCACAGTATATGGCTTTGAATTCAGAGTTGAGTTTTTTTGACTAAAGGACCCAGTCTGTCCTGTTATTTGCTCTTAGCTGGAGAAGGTGTGAGGAGAAGAGAGTGGCTCGTAAGTGAATGTAATGAACTCGACTAGAATTCGAACACGGGTATCCGATTCCTCAATCAGAGCCGCTATCTATTACTCCAACGTGACTCCATCATACATGAACAAGTCTGATGCTTTAACAAGTATAAGGCTCAACGAGTATCATGTTTTAACAAGTATCATGTTTTAAGGAGTATCCTGCTTTAATGAGTATCATGCATCACCGAGTATCATACATGAATAAGTATGATGCTTTAACGAGTTTGATGTTTCAAGGATTATCAATGCATTACCAGATGTGTTGCTTACCGTGTATCATGCTTTAATATGATCAACGAGTAACATGTTTTAACATTGTATCATGCTTTAGCGAGTATCATGGTTTAATGCGTATCATGTTTTAACAAGTATCATGCTTTAAGGAGTATCATGTTTTAAGGAGTATCATACAGTTAAAACTATTGTTTTTAGGGACCTAACATTTTTATTACACTTTTTTTGTTTTTATAATCTAAAAGATTGAAAATATTTTTTGTGTCTTTGGATATAATTAAAGCGAAAATAAATGTAAAAATTCTCCGTTAAAAAATTGTATTTTTTAAAATTTTTAACCAGTTTGTCGGCGTACGTCCGAGTCCCCTCCTTCCCGCTTTCTAAGGGTTAAAGAGAAGAAGAGGCAAAGAAAACAGGCAATTCCCACATGTGAAGTTCTGGTCAATTATTACATTCGTCTGACATTTTTTTATTATTATTATTAAAAGTAGTTTTAAAAAGCAGCCTTTTCTTTTTTTCTTTTCATTCTTTCTTTCTTTCTTTCTTTCTTTCTTTCAATTTTTATTTTTATTTTCTCTCTCTCTCCCCACCTTCTATATATATTTCTTTCTCCCTGACTTTTGATTCAAAACCAGGTAAAGATTGGCTGGTGAATGTCATTTTTTTCCCATGTCATTCGTATTTTTTTAGTCCTCCATCTTTTTTCCTATTTCTCCACCTCCTCCTTTTTTTTCTTTAATTCTTTCATTCTTTCTTTCTTTGTTCTTTCTTTCTTTCTTTCTTTCTTTCTTTCTTTCTTTCTTTCTTCCTGTTTTTTATTTCTTTCTCTCTCTCTCTCTCTCACACACTCTCTCCCTCCACCTTAACCAGGTAAAGATTGGCTGGTGAATGTCATTTTTTCCAATGCCATTTTGTTTTCTCACAGAAACGAAACAAATAAAAAAAAGAATTCTGTTTTTATATTTTTACCGATTTGTAATTCTATTTTACAAAAGTCCTGAGTTCATTAAACATACTCTGGAAAATAATGTATATGCAATGAAAGGCAGTGGCATAGATGGTGTGGCTGCATTGAAAATGTACGTATACACTTTTGTTTGTTTTCTTCTTTTAAAATAGAATTCACTCTTCGAAAATAATTTTATTTTCTTTCAACCAATTTTTTTTCTCTCTCCAGTACAATTTTGTCTTTTCATAAGGTTTCAACAATTTTAAATATTTCCACTTTGAGGTAAATTCAAATAGTAATCCCAGTCGATTTCGGTGCTGGAGGAATACGTTCGATTGTTTAACCATTCTTCCAGACAGTCCAAGACAACAGAATCATAATCTTCATGAAATTTGTTTACAGAAACTTCCGGTCGAGTTCTCAGCCAAGGTAGATCGCCTACCGCGAAAATACAAACGTTACGTACAAATTTGCCATGACATTTAACTTTAGGGTGATCCCATGACCAGTTCACGGCTTTAGAAGGGTGTTTTATTCTTGCCGTGGTTTGTATAGAAATTTTGATAGCCACCTGGGGCAAAAGGTAACAAATTGAGTGTTGCCCAAATGCATTCTTCCGGTGCGTAAGTTTTCTTTAGCCAATCGTAAAGAGGCTTTACGACATCGTCTGTGAAGATAAAATCTACAAAATCTCGCGAGAACATAAAAGTGCGATATAATCCCTTTATAGATGGTAATGTTGCTTTTGAAAGGCGCGTATCGCACTTTAGTATTGGTCTGTCGATTTTTTTAATTTATTTATTTAACATATATAAAAATGGCGCCATCTTTATCCAAAAATACATCCGACTCTTTATCATTTGTGCCATTAAATATTTCAAGAATCTTCACAATCTCTAAATTTGTTCTTAACATGAACTCTTGACCTGTAAGATTAATATAATATTTCCATTTGACGTCTGATCCGATACAGCATTTCATACATGCTAGCTTCACAGACTCTATAAGGCGATAAGAAGCGTATACGACATTTATACGTTCTGTGAGAACCACAACATTTTTAAAAACAGTCGCCAACCCTTTTGATAAGGTCGTACGTTTCGTTGGGGGCCTTTGAATCGACGTGGATGCAGTAAAAGTTAAGGGGTCTGTAAATTGTTCTGAGAAGTCTTCCACTTGGTGAGAATTCGCGTGTGCATCTTGATTCCGAACGCCAGAAAAACCGTTTTCGTCCTCACTAACGGGTTTATCCTCGTAACCGTGTTCGTAGCGTAATTTCGGACAGTCTTTGACTAATTCTAGAAGAGCACTCCGTTCGTACTGGGCTCACTATTCATTTTCCGCCGGAACGATGTGACGGATTTCCATAACGATTTGAAACTTTTTATCTGGCAATTCAAAGATTTATTTCCACGGACATTGCATTTGCTTAAGACTTGCGGCTTTTGTTGTAACAATGAACCGATTTTAACTACTGGAATTTTTATACGGAAACGTTTCATCATTGCCATTGTATTTTTTGGTAGGATATCTTCTAAATGGCTCTGGTCACTCTGTAGGAAGGTCAGGCAAAAGATCACTGTAGAAGCAATCAAAGCCAGCAGGACTCGTTTGAGCGAACTGAAAAAAAAGTGCGATATAATTACAGTAATAATTTTTTGTCCGTCAGCACACCAGTCTATTTTTAAAAACATTTCTTTTATATCTTAAGATCTACTTTATATTTAACAATATAAAAATGGCCCTTCACTAAGATTTTTTGAGAAAGATAGCTAATCGGTTTCCTGTTTGAATTCGACATTTTCCTTCTCGGACTTGTCACCCAAAATAAGAGAGAGGCCAGTCTACCATATTAAAATAATTCCACTTTAATTAAAATTTAAATAACTTTTTCTCTTTAGATGTGTTTATATATATATATATATATATATATATATATATATATATATGCACAAGTATATGATTGGGGTATACAGAATAAATTCCAATAATCAACAATGACTATTCTTAAAAGATTGCTCAATACAGATTAGAGCAAATACAATTATTTATTTAAAAATTATAACATAAATATGTTATAAAATCACTACAAAAATAGCCATTTTGTTTCAACACCTCCGGTGTCTTATCAAGTGATGATGTTAAATGTATTTTATGTTATATATATATATATATATATATGCGTACTTACGCGTAGAGATTTAGTGAGGATGAAACACGCTATTCAGGATTTAACGCTACAAGCTACAAGCTTTCTAAACATTAAACCTCGTAAAAGTGCTCTAAACGAATTTTAAGGTTAGCTTAGATGTGGCACAAGGCCATCAGTGTAGAGAACATGGAAAGATCTCCTCATATGCTCAACCCTTGACATTCTCAGCATCCTTTTGCAGAACAAAAGGATAACCAGAGCACAATAAAGAAACTTATCCCAATCAAGCAGTTTTACGTTAGACTATTTTAATGTAAGACAACGCCCTTCACATTCTTCAACTTTCGTGCTAATACCCTTGTGAAAGTTATGAAACCATTTTCTCCCACATATGGGTAAAATAACTAGACAAACTGAGTTCTATGGGTGGCAGCCAGTCTAGGAGATAAATTCAAACCAGCCTGAGAGGGTTAGATTTTTGCGCTTGTCCAGTGTGTATATATGCAGCTAGGACCGCTTGTGAATCCTCCTGAAACTCTTACTATGAATTTCCACGGCAAACGTCGGCTTACGTTCGGGGCGTGGCAGGTTTGAGGGATGAATGCCGCAGCAGTTGCAAGTATTCTGTCACACTGACTGTTTTGCAGCTTGCCAAAAATTACCCCCCCCCAAAAAAAACAAGGTTTCAAAAAAGGTTCCTTTTGGTATTCGTTTTATTAAGAGTGTCGGCTTGGATTCTAAAAGGTATTAAGAAGAATGACGTCACAGGAACGCATGCCGCACGTTGGGCTTAGCGTCCCTCTGCGGGTGGTATTAGCCTAAGAGTGGGAGACATATCGACATTTCAGAATTATTGAGACAATCTAATTTGGAGCTATATTCAAAACCCAGCCTCTCCAGATATTAATCCGATAGAAAACCTCTCGTACATTAAAAGAGTTTTATATAAAAATGGAACATAATATTCAAGGAAAGAGAGTTGGGAAACAATAAACATGGCCACAGATAATGTTAAAGTTGAAATAGCTGGAAGAAAATTACCAAAAATCAATGCTTTAAAAAAACTGTTGACGTTTATAGAATGTTAAGTAACTCCTTGCAATGTCTAAAATGTTAAATAAAAATTTATTCAGTCATATGGGATTATAGGAAAATGATATGAAATCAATAAATAAAATTATAAAAGTGAATTATAAAAAAAGAAATTAAAAAGAAATACATTTTCCCATGATGCTGGTGGCGAAGCTACCGGAAATATGTTTACCCGACTTGCATTTGTCAAACGGCGTTAGCAGTGCTATTTAAGTCTATAGAAAAAGAAAACAAACATGCAATAAGTTTAAACCTTTAACGACCAGTACAAACCTTTTAACATTATTCCAACTCTGCCCAAATTGAAACCTTTTTGATTCCTTATTTACCCTAAACTCTGCCAAGAAAAAAAAATAGTATTTGAGATTTAGACCATTGTAACAATGGTCATTTCATCTCAGCGCAAGGCTAACTGGATTTGCCACTAACACTATGTTGAATTTCTTTTTTTTGTAGCCAAGAAAAAGAAAATATATAAAAATGAGAATAAACGGTCCAGAACCAAATCAAGTTCTGTATCCTTCTTAATTGTTAACATGTGAACACTTATGCTCCAAGTTTAAGTGTACATCCTCTGACGACTGAAATTTTTCACTTTGCAACGCAAAAACCAACGTGTCTTTTTTCCACTTTTGAAGTAAATTTTCGTTCCAACTCGTCGCAAGGCTCACTTTAGCTCGACCATTGTAACCATGTCGACACTGCAAAGTTGTGGCGGTATTTTCTTTGGTTGGTAATTTGAGATCGAAAATAATTTCCTTTATATTTTAAATTTGACAAAAAAAGAATTATTTTTTTTTATAGGAACTAATTTTGATTAATTTCAAATATTTTATTTAGGTGTTGTTTTTAGTGTTCAGGGAAGTTTCCGATTTTTAGAGAATGAAACCCCAACTTTTTCCTAGTTTTAACCTACATTCCATTTTCGTAACGGCGGTATTAATAATCAATGCAAGTGAAATTATTTTTTTTTATACAAAAACGGTGTTTACCGTTTGAAACCCCAGGATTAATATCGAAACTATCGTCCAATGAAAAAAGACAAATCCCACTACCGTTTGCAAAATTAGTAAACTTTTAATGAAAAAATTTCCCATAAATTCCATGGAATTTTAAAAAAAAAACTAAATCTAAAATGGAAACCCTCTGTAATTGTAGAATTAAGGAACATTGCCCAGTAGATGACAAGTGCAGACCCATTAGGGTAGTATACCAGGCAACCATTACCCCTGAAGAAAGTACGACAAACAATAATATTACATTGGCATTTCTGTTGGAGAATTTAAAAAGAGAATCAATACACATAGACATTCATTCACCAATCCAAGATTAAAACACCAAACAGCCCTTTTGAAAAAAATGTTTGGAATTAAAGGAAAAGGGTCTGAATCCTCAATTAAATTGGAAAATTCTATGTTTCGCGAACACCCCCAATAGTTTTAGGGATACGTGCAATTTATTTTTAGAAGAAAAAATCAGGATAACAAAATATAAAGATCAATGCAAACTATTAAATCAACGGAGAGAACTAATCACGAAATGTAGACATAGAAATAAATTCCAAATTATATAAGAATACATGTGCATATATGCGGGGATGTATGTTTACATATAGTGGCATATATGTATGGACATGTAAATGTACATATATGTATGTATGAAGATATGTACTCATATAAGTGTGTTGGACAGCAT